TATTAATATTCTCCTTCTTCTTTTTTTAATGATACTGACGCTTTCAGAGGCATCATTTTTTCTTATTTAAGCAAGATCAGTTCTCTACTTTCTTCCTAACAGGTTTAGTGCTCCAGGGCAGCAAACAGCATCAATGTGAGTTTGTATGACCGGTCTCAACTATAAGGTGGATGTACATCCTCCAAAGTAAAGGGCAACGAGCCCCGGTTTCTGTTGCTATGGCATTTTCAAAAAGTCCACGGATGCGGTTGCTGAGGCCATTTTCCGGCCGGACAGATAAGGGATCATCATGGAAACGTGATCTATAAATACTGCAGACATGTACAGTAAGTGCTAAGTATCGTTTGATAATGTGCAACTCTGTTTCTATGAAAGCTGTGTTAAGTAAAACTAAAAGCAAGACTGCAAATCACTTAAATCTGCATTTAAACAACATTAAACACTGGGACTTTTTGAGATGCTCATCTTTCATCATGCTACTAAATCTTATTTGTGTTGTGATGTTCCATCAGATGTATTTATTTAATGCTTTTGAGCATTAAACAACTTTTCTAGTTTTTGTTGTCCCTCACTGGACTTTTCTGAAATGTAGTTTTTTGTAAATACTTTCGAAATCATCACCTTCTGTTTTTATTTGCAGTTTTTTGGGGAAACAAGGATGTAAATTATGTGAATTTTGATGTGATCCTGCTATCTGATGCTTGTGATCATCGTCTGTTACCTTACCTCTGAGCTGCATCTACCAGCTGCTTCCTTTGCTGTTCAGCAACTATGGCAAAGAGGCGCGGCACCAACTGCTGCAGTCTCTGGTTACAGAGTGAAAAAAAACGGCGAGCCCAGCGAGCAGTATGGCAACGGTACCCCACCTGAAGCACACATCACATGGAGGTCAGTCAGACCAAAATAAACAAATAAGGTTAGGGCTCAAAAAGCTTTGAGAAACACAGCTAGAGAAGAATGGGGGAAAAGAGCTTTTATTAGCCTGGCCTGTACATAAATGCTTCAAAGAAGGGCGCTGGTGGTCCAGACTAAGAGGGCCGATGTCAGCGTTTGTCTCACTGTCACCAGAGGAAACACAGCATTGCTGTTGCAGTACTAACACCTCACACTGTGCCAATGAGACAGGAGAGATTGTTGATAAAAAAGTGGGCATGTTTCTTGATTTTTTACCTCTTAAACTGTATTTACTTGTGAATCTGAATTAGAGAGACTTTATTAATGCCAGAGGAAAACCGAGTTAACTACAGCACATTCAGGTCCAATAAAACCTAATGTTTGTTTTTTATGTTTCTCTGTCAGGCTAAAACCCATGTGTTTGACATCGAGCAGAACCTGCAGGTATAAGGTGCTGGGTCTTCCTCTGTCAATTGAGGGGCATGTCCATTACCTCATACAAGAAGCCATGGATGATAAACTACTGTGTCAGGTGTATTTAGGATGGGGTCCTTACTTGTAGAAAGAAAAGGCACTCAATTCAGAAGATTATAATGCAATCCAAGCCCTTTTGAATGGAGCCTTTTTCTGTTTCGAGTTATCTAGAAAAACATTGAAAAACGCAGCACTGTTGTACATCCCCTTGTAATAAAGCCATTTAGTTGGTAAACGTGCCGTAGTGTGTCTTCTAATCTCTTAACCCTCCTTAAACTCACAGAGCTAGACAGACTTGTCAGCTGATTGTTTTAATCCCGTCTCCCGCTGCTTCTTCACTTCTGATTACAGCCAACTGGTTCAACTTTTTACATAAAAAGAGATCACCACTTAGAAATGTCTGCTTAAAAGGCTGGGTGAAGGCGTGAGTATAGCAGTAGTTTCC